TGAAGGCCAGGTTGGATGAGGCTTTGAGCAGCCTGGTCTAGTGGAAGGTGTCCCTGCTGCTGGCAGGGGGGTTGGGACTGGATGAGCTTTAAGGTCCCTTCCAACCCAAACCCCTCTGGGATTCTGTGAGAACAGCCTGAGCTCTGGGTATCTGGGCTTATACAGGGGAGACACCAATTAAGGATTTTTCTGGCTTAATTGTGGCCTCTTGTCCCCCAGTATTTCCCTGGCAGTAAGAGCCAGCACACAGCAAGTGCAGGTGCCTTCATACAACCTGGAAGGGAGGAGAAAGCCCACAGCACTCTGCTAGAAGAAAAGTAACTTGTGAGTGGGTTTGGTTTGGGGTTTGTATTTTTTTCCTTAAAACACAATCTCCACCTGCACTGCAAGCGTTGAGAACAGAACTGTGTTCACGTTCCCGAGCTGCTCTCCAGCTGACAACAGGGAGATTAATCCATCTTCTCTTTTCTCCTGAAGGATTTTTACCGTAGCAGACAGAAATCAAACTGTGTGTTGTCAAGTACCTGTCATTTCTCATTCCTCAGGCAGACCCAGAGGCCAGGGTGCACATTCAAAACATGTTTGGATTTTCTAGAGCACAACAAATAAGAAAGGTCCCCCCAGTGTAAGTCAGAACGAGACAATCCTACACTGAAAGAGCCTTTTTCAATCATCCCAGCTGAGACACAACAAAACCTTAACCAGGAGATGCCTACACCGCTTTGAAACACCCAGTTCATGAGCTCCAGGAGATGGTCTGAGGTGGGACATGGAAAAGAAACATTTCCCTGGGCTTTAGCATCTACTGTGAGTGAAGACAAGACCCCCAGATTCAGGGACTACCTTTGCAGAGGCCGGGGGATTGGGGTTCCATGTTCCTCTCACTCGGACAGCTCGTTTATTTTTCATTCTTTGAATGTAAATCAAGTTTGAAGCCACAAACTCCTACCAAAGGCTCCTGGAAAATGGAAGGTAAGAAGGGAATTAACACGCTGAACACCACACTGTACCTGAGGTGATATGCCTACAAAGATTTCAACCAGACTGGAGACAAACTTGTGAGCCTGACTTGGAAGGGAAGGTGGAAGTAGATGGATCATCTCCAAAGTACAGCAGTAACTGCAGTAGAAAACCAAAGTCCTAAAAAGTGGAAAAACATCAAAAACATCACCCAAGATTTGACTCCAGCCAAGCCCTGGCAAACACAAGTGCTTCAAAAACCACCTCAAGCCAGTGAGGACACGTAGCACGTGTCACAACAGCCAATTCCTTCTTGTCTTTAATATATATGTATAAAAAAAAAAGCAAGTCTTAATTGCAACCCATTAACATCTCCACTCCAAGTTCATCAGCAGCACCTCTGAGCTATTCTGCTGTCCACAACTTGAAGGTTCTGTCGTAGGAGCAGGTGGCTATCAGCTGCCCATCCAGGGAGATATCCAGTCCCATCACCTTCCCCTCGTGACCAGCCAACGTTTTCAGAGGGGACCAGCCAGGGTGAGTCCAGATCTTTGCGGTGTTGTCGTAAGCGCCCGTGAGGAGGAAGTTACCGTGATTGGCTGCAGGGAGGGAGAGAGGGAGGGAGAAAAAAAAGTGAGATTTGCAAATAAAAACATGACAAACCTTCTCTGCTAACCAGTACAGGCTTTCTTGACCTGAAGATGTGTTTTTTGAGTTGCCCATCCCTTGCCACCTCAGCTCAGGAGAGGTAGAGGTGAGGAACATCAGACAGGAGGTACCTACGTTCAAATTTGACCCCGGTGACCAGGTTCTGATGGGCAGGAATGGTGTAGATGCATTTCCTCTGGCGGAGGTCCCAGACCTTACAAGTGTTGTCACCGCTGCCAGTTGCGACGTGGTATCTGCCCAAGGGTGGAGGGAAGAACATGTTGTTGGGAGCCGGGGTTTGTACTCAACAGCTCCCACATAAACCATCCAAGTGGTTTTCTTACCCATTTGGGGAGAAGTTAATCCCGTAGATTTCCTTCAAGTGACCTTCTAGAAACATGATGCAGCGTCCTGTGCGCAAGTCCCACACCCGGCCAAAAGCATCCAGTCCACTGGGAAGAGAGAACGCGAGCGTGACCCATCCCAGAGCTCAGTGACTGCCAGAGCACTCTCAGCCTCACCAGCACAAATCACTGGGGCACTTGGCACCAGTCAGCAACACAACCTGGATAACTTCCCATCTTAAACTCACCCAGTCCCAGCGAGAGACCCGTCCGTGTGAAAGGCAATGTCATAGACCCCTTTGCTGTGCCCCTCCTGATGGAGGATCTCCTCCTGAGCTTCCAGGTCCCACAGACGCCACGAGTGATCGTAGCTGTGAAAACAAAGCATTTGTCCAACTAAATGGAGGATAAATAAATTCTAAAATTAAAGGATAAATCAATTATTAAATAAATAAATTTATATCCAAGAATAAAGGATATTTCACTAACTCTCTGGGCATTTGATTTCCAGCTGGAGACCAACAAGGTGTCACACAAGGGGCAGGGGAAGGAATCCCAATGACTTGCTGTTGTTTACATCACAACAGCCGGGCTGTTGTCAATAGCCAACTCCTGCCCACGCTGGGCTCCTCTGCAGACAAGCACTGGTATCCACTGGGCCACCAGTCAGACAGCTGATTCCAAATGCTTTAGGTATGAATGGCTTTGGCCAGTATTAAAAATCGGACTGAAATGTCCAAAATTTTATTAATTTTGTCTTAATTATTTTATTTTATTTTATTAATTTTGTCTTAAAGCAAATCATCACATCTCCATACCAGGTAGTACCCAGGAACCGCCCAGACGGGTGCCACATCACACGTGCCACTCTCATGTTGTGTCCTTCGATATCTGCCACCGGTTCGTCACTGAAAAACAGAAATGACAATCCTGGGACACTGGTCAGGGGTGACCAGCTCCAGCCAGGCCTTTGCTAACATGATTACAGCAAGAGAGCTGCTAATTAACCACAAGCCAGAGAGGAAATTAAGAGTTTTAACTAATGACTCTGCCTTCTGCCTTTTGTTCACACAGCTAAAGCTCCAGGTGAAACCCTTTTATCCACACTCAGCTTGGTTATAAAGTTCTCCTGGGATAATTATTTCCTGAAAATTAACGAGGCCCTCGTTAACAGCACTTTGAAAGCGGTAACAGCAGAAATAAAATGCAGACACTCTGGCCAGCAGGGAGTTTTACTGTGACCACACAGAAAAATCCTGAATTACAGCCAATCCAGCTGTTCTGAGGAACTGCAGGGCAGGTGAATATTTATTCTCTGAGCATCCCAGGCAGCAGCTCAGCAGAGGACACGAACAGCAGTTAGGAGTTTCTCTCCAACAGGTTAAAGAGATGTGGTCACATGAGACTAATAATAATAATCAACCTGTCCCTTTGCTCAGGGACACTTCAGCAATTAGAAGGAATTCTAAAATAATCAGTTTTCAGCTCGGGATGAACAGCTGAGGATCTCAGAGCTGCCTGCCTCCTCCTGAGGTGCACTGCAGGGCATTTCAAGGCAGACTCGGTATCTCCACCCTCCTCCTCTTCACAGGCTGCTGCACATCTTCCAAAGCTCCACTGTGCAGTGACAGAGCCGCTTGTTTTCCTCACAGGATGAAGTTTTTGTGCGTGCTCATGTATTTGGTTAGTCCCTCTCTGGATACTGGTGCTTCCCAGTAACCAAAAACTTAATTTCTTAATATCCAAAAGGGGAAATTTTCCTCTCAATGACAGGTTAGAATGAAACAATCTCCAAATCTTCCATCCATCACCCAAAGCAGTTCACCAACGCCCAGCAGTGATTGTGACTTGATTTCTTTTCAGATTATTCCCCTCACCTT